AAGATCTATATATTACAATAGATGTCATATATTATATATAATCTATATATATGTGACATATATAATCATATATAATGTGCATATATATGTGTGATTATACATGTGATTATAATGATTTACTCAGTGACTGAGTAAAGGCAATCTTTAGACACACGACTAGATGAACCTACCATCCCTTCATTCCGGTTGGCCCTCACCAGCCACAGCACTCATTCCTCTTCACTTGGGGAGGAGCAAATGAAAGCTAGAGGGGCCAGATGTTTTCAGACTAAACTGCGCAGGAGAGACACAGAGCAAGAGTGTTCCCTTCTCTACTGCCCCTTCAGAATATCGACCGTTATATGGTGCATCAGAGTTAAATTAGGACGTCTTCTTGATTATTCTTTCCAAGTGAACATACAAATTGACTTGATATTCACAGTGGCCACAGCCCTAAAGAAAAACATTCCTAATTTGTGAACATGGTTCTTCTCATATTTTCCCCACAATATGCATAGGGGACAAGGACAGAAAGCAGCTGAGATGAGGATGATTGGTGGTTAATGAGGCTCATTCACAAGAAAACCGTTGTCTTAAAACGTGAAAACATCTGAGAATAACTATAAACCACTCCTATATCAGACATCTCCACAGCCTCTCAAAAAATATAAATGCCTAAATGTTAAACTGTGAAAAGTGAGTGGTCTGTTTAACTTCAGAACATGTACACTTGCAATATTGTACCCAGATGTATATTCTTTAATAAAATTAATTTTAGATATAAAAAATTCAATTTAAGTGAATATGAAAACATTTTATCAGCCTGACTCTCTTAATTTATAGACTTATTATAGAAAAAATGGTATTTTATGTTGTTAGACCTAATCACATTATTTTAAACTGGATATACATCTTCATATAATAGTTACTAAATTTTTTTATTTGATAGTAGGGTTATTGTTCATTCATATATTTTATTTATTTTATTTAACTTAGTTTTCTAAAACATTTACATCTTTGCATTTTTTACTAAGGAAATTGAAAGCAACAAGCTAAATATTTCACAATTATTTGTATGAGACAACTTTTTTTTTTTAAGATAGAGTCTCACTCTGTCGCCCACGCTGGAGTACAGGGGCAGGATCTTGGGCTCACTGCAGCCTCTGCCTCCTGGGTTCAAGCAATTCTCCCACCCCAGCCTCCTGAGTAGCTGGGACCACAGGTGCGTGCTTGGCCAACTTAAAAAACAAATCTTTTGTAGAGATGGTGTTTTGTTATGTTGCCCAATGCTGGTCTCAAACTCCTGGGCTCAGGCAATTCTCCCACCTTGGCCTCGTAAAGTGCTGGAATTACAGACATGAGCCACCACAATCATGTAAGCCAACATGTATCCTAAAATGTTGTGATGAAAATCAAATATTATGAGAAAAGATTAAAAGGTTGTAAGGCTAACACCTGTATTTTAACCTGTATTTTCTCGGTATTTTATCATAAGTATTTTTATCCCTGGTATATGTTACATCTCAGAAATATGAAAAAGGCAAAAAAAAAATAGTATAAATTCTGCTCACATCATTGATATATTAGTTATTATGTAACAAAGAATTGTTCTGCTCTTTATCCCTGATATCCAGGAGGTAAACTCTAAGCTCTTGGTATTTCCCAAGTGGCAGGAGTGCCTTTGTGGTCCATGGAGGAGCTTCTCACACCACACTGTTTGTGGTCATTGTGATGATGATTATGATTATGGTAACTCAGGAAGGGGGCTGGGCAAGCTGGAAAGACCAGTAATAGGATTAGAGGGTCGAGGCATTGAGCCATGTGATATCAGCGCAACCTCCCAATCTCTGGGCAGGGAAGGGAGCTGGAGGTTAAGTTCAACCCTGTAGCCAATAATTCAATCAACCTTGTCTGTGTCAGCAAAACCCTGTAAACACTCTGGCACCAAAGCTCGGGTGATGATGCACTTTGAAGTGCTGGAAGTCCTGAGGACATAGAGGCTTCCTGTTTGGGACCTTCCCAGATGTCACCCTATGAGTCTCTTCATCTGGCCAGTCCTGGTTTGTGTCCTTTGTAATATAATCTTAATCATATGTATAAGTCCATTGCTTTCTCAAGTTCTGCGAGGTACTCTAGCGAACTATCAAGAACTGAAGGGACCATGGACCCCCTAAATTGGTAGCCAGTTGGTGAGAGTGCAGGTGTCCTAGGTGACCCCAGGGCTTGCAGCTGATGTCAGAGGGGAGTCCTGTGGAGAAGCATGAAGTGCACGAACTCCGTGCTAACTCCAGGAAATTAGTGTCAGAATTGCACTGCAGTGCTGTTTATTTCAAACATATTTTTTTCAAATTTTCTCCTGGCCAACTCCAAAAACTGAAGTTAATAAGAAGGAGATTGTTGTTATTTTTCATGCACACAGAGGCAATGTGGTCACTTCTTTTTTCCATTAGTAAGGCATTTCCCTGCTAACTGGCTAATCCAACATGCAGCTGTTTTAATTTTGCCATCTCCTGCTTTCTGCTGGTAATGCTTGCATTTGTGTGTAAAATGTGTTCTGTCACAGATTCATGACTGAGAACATTAGGTGAAAAACTTCATTCAATATTAAATACTCTCTTTTGAAAAATTAGCCTATTTCTAATATTAATTAGGATATATGAAAATATTACACATCTGAAGCTAAGCTCACTTGTGATAGTTACTCAAGGGAAGGCTTAATATGAGGTTGCTGTACAACAGTTGATAAATCCAAATATATGTGAATGATAAGATTTGACCCTCAGATTAAAAGTGGCAAAACACACACGTTGTAAGCAGATTTTACCAATTGAATTCATAGACTGTGCGGTAGGTGCTAGGAATTGTGGGTGACACTCAGAGATTAATATAGATTCTGAAGAAACTTAAATCTCTAGAAAATAAAAGAATACTTTACTTAAAAATGACCAACCCAATTCAATATTTGAGTGTAGAATACAGAAATGGACACAGACTGCGTGGCTCCTGTGACCTGAAGGATTATCCTCTCTCTCTTTCACTGATTTGTCTAGCTATATTTTACTCATCTGTTAAAATATTTTAATTTTTGCCAGGTAGTTTTTTTTCTCTTAAATCTTAAAAAAAGTGTGACCTTGTTTCCCTCCTATAACACCCATCACCTGCCTGTAATGCTGTCTATTTACCAAATATTATTTATATAATTACATTAAATGTTGGCATCTGTGTAGATTTTAACTTGTGTTGTTGTTGATGCTTTTTAATGACAGAGGTCTTATCTTTTATTCCTAACAACAAACACAGTGCCTGGTATCTAGCAGGTACTTTAAGAGATCACATGCTAAGCTAAACTATTGCAAGAGCTATGTGCTCAGGGGAAGAAAGAGGGGCTTCCTAGTGGAGATGGGTCTTGAGTTCTAGCTTTTAAGGACAGTAATGGGCTATTTGAAATAAAAGTTCCTAAAAGTATAAATAGTACACAGACAGACAAACATGGATTGTGAGTGACAAATAACAATAAGATGGTAGGTTGGCATTTTATTGCCCAACATCTTAAATGACCATGCCCAAATAAAACTATGGTTTTATTTGCTGAGAACCAGAGATAAGATCTTTGAACCATTTGAAGTGATAAAATGAAAGTTGTATTAGACATTGTGAATGGCCTGTACACTATCTATTTTCTTTATTTTTTTAACCTGTTGAGTAAAAGTAGAATGGAAATGTTTAGGGAAGAAATATTTAAGAAAGTTAAGAAAAATATATACATATATATTCCAGCCTCCCTTTGCAGTAGAGATAAACAACAGACAGAATTCAGACCAATGGGATAGAAGGAGTCAGCTGCTGCAAGCAAGAAGGCACTCATGGAAAATATTACTTTTTCTGTGTCATCTTGGACAATTCTCTAGTACCTAATCTTTGTTCTTCATTGGTAAAAGAGAGATAATAATCCCTTAGAACTTAGTTGGTGCTGTCATATTGGCTAGTTTTTGTAATTTTAGTAGAGACGGGGTTTTGCCATGTTGGCCAGGCTGGTTGCGAACTCCTGACCTCAGGGGATCCGCCCGCCTCAGCCTCCCAAAGTGCTGGGATTACAGGCGTGAGCCACCGCGCCTGACGCTATTCAAGATAAAATTCAGCATTCATGTTAACACACATTCATAATGGGGCAAAGTAAAGGCTCAGGAACTGTGGGCGACTGTGAGGACAGTGGTGACCAGGGTCAGTAATGACCAGGGTCAGTGATGACCAGGGTGATAATGGCAATATTGATCATCATCACTTCTCTTCCATTCATGAAGTTTGAGTCCTAATGCTATTACACAAAGTGAAAGAGGGAGGTGTCATGCATCTGGAGGCAGGATATACTGTTAAACAAAAGCAAAATTGAGATCCGAATGACGCACCAGGGCAACGGGAAGAGGAGACTGACTTACAGGGCATTTGGAAAGCAGAATCTTCAAGGCGGGCGCATTCATGAGAGTCGGAGGTGTAAGGAAGAGTAAGAGAGGGTGGACTTGTCGTGGACTACAATTTCATCTCTGGCTACATATGAGTAGAGTAGAATCTCAGGACTAGCTGAGCCCACATGCTCTGTGTAATAGTCCCAGACTGCCTAATGTCAGGCTGTGCATTTGAAGAGGTGAGAACTGTTTCCTAACCTCTGCCTCTTCGCTGCCTCTTCGCTGCCTCACATTATTATTCCTGGCTTCTGCTGCCAGCCTGAGAACCTGCCACACGTCAAAGCTGTGCTGCCTGACACTTTTAGATCGATCTCCTGCTCGTGGAGAACACAGCCTTCTTTTTTCTCACCTGTTTCTCGATGGTCTTACTCTAAGACTTTCAGCACTAGAGCAACCCTTATGGAGACAGAAGAGATGTGTAGAAAATGTCTACGTGGAGTGTTTGTTGTTATTTAGGTTGTTTTCTTGGTGTTTGCAGATTTTGAGTCACAAAGGTGAGGAAATTGATTCCATCTTACCTGAGAAGCTTCCCAGTCTGGGTGCGGTCACGTCCCCACCGTCGTGGATCTCAAGGGAGTCCCAGTTTTGTTCCGTGGCAAAACTGATCACTTGGATCTACCAAACCATAACATTAAGTTAATATTGATTTTTGGCTTAACATAATTAGTCTAATTAGATAGGGTATTGGGGTTTTTCATGATTAAGGTGTATATATAGGTATATACCTGTACCTGTATATATGCTTATATATATATACCTTAATCATGCCTTCAATACCATAATATTTTATATATATAAAAAAATATATATATACACACACACACCTTAATCATGAAAATCCATCTATCTATCTATCTGGCAAAATTTAAAAAACAAACCATGAAAGAACAATTTATTTTTCTTTTTTTTTTTTTTTTTTTTTTTTTTTGAGATGTAGTCTTGCTCTGTCACTCAGGCTTGAGTGCAATGGCATGATCTTGGCTCACTGCAACCTCCGCCTCCTGAGTTCAAGCAATTCCCCTGCCTCAGCCTCCCTAGTAGCTGGGATTATAGGTGTATACCACCGTGCCTGGCTAATTTTTGTATTTTTAGTAGAGATAGGGTTTCACCATGTTGGCCAGGCTAGTCTCGAACTCCTGATCTCAAGTGATCTGACTGTCTTGGCCTCCCAAAATGTGGGGATTACAGGCATGAGCCACCGTACCTGGCCAAGAGAACAATTTCTACAAATGGTACTTTTGATAGTTTTTATTATAAAAAATTTAAATTTTATTCTAAAAAATTATATTTATTCAAAATATAGAAACACGATTAGAAATATTTTGTAGAAATACTAAGAGAAGGGAAACAGAGTATAGTCTAGGTATTTAAAATAACCAATATAAAAGGAAAAAAAGAAAAAAAAGAGATGGAAAGAAAGAAAGAACAAAAGAACGAAAGAAAGCAGCCCACAGACCCCAGCTGAGCCCTGCTGTAGACTGTGGACTTCAAGGACTCACCTGAATTCCCGAGCCCTCCGTAACTATGATCTTCCATACACAGTTCAAGTTGTTTCCGTAGGGCTCAGGGTAGCCAGGGGACAGAATTGTACCTCTTCGCTGAGTGAAATTACCACTGCATGGTACTAAAAGACAGAATCACATGTCATGAAATAAAGTGCCACGGTACAGTGTTGATTTGGCATGCAGTTTTCTTTCACTGTGTGACCAGACAGTGAGAGAAAACGTACGTGAACAATGATACGTTAAATGGCATTTTGAGCCAAGGTAAAATTTAGTGTTTTCTCTTTTAAATTAGCAATATAATTGATTATTACCTGTTATGCTACTGAGTTACAGATCTTGAGTCTATAAAGAAATCTATCCAAGTTCTCTAAGACGGGACGGTGTCTAATGATGGCATCTCCAAAGTGAATTCTGTTCAGAATAATTTACCTACTATAATTTAAGGACCTTGGCAGAGTCTTCTCTTCTCCATGCAGACATGCATCTCCAAATGATATTAATGGGATTTATGAGCAAAGTCAAGAGAAGAGGCGCTTAAAATGTACAAGTGATTCAAGTGCTAATCATGATTGTACCAGGGTTTTCCACACAAAATGAAGCAGGTAAACTACAACAAGGTCATTGTTATTCAGCTTGCATTTTATCTATTACTTTTCAAACATTCATCAGCACCAATTTATTAAAAGGACGTTACACAAGTAACATAGCAAATCAACATGATAATGATTTTTTCCCAAAACGAAATTATGTTCTATACTCATGACTTTAGAGTTGATGGCCTACTTCATAAATATGGAGAAGGGAAACATGCTTTATCCTTACTAAGATGAAGAGTTGTTTTATGAAACACAGTAATTTTTAGGGTTTGGCTACTAACTCAATTATTTCGCTTGAAACAAATTGCCCTTTAAATGGGTCATGAGCCAGATGGATTTACGTAGCCTGGATAGAAGAACGAGAAGCAACTCTTTGGCATCACCACACAGTTCTGGTGGGCAGCCCTGTGCCCGTAATTCCCGCTTAGGGACACTGCTTACCCACACAGCTGGGGATCGTGTCGTTCCACTGCGCCAAGGCATTGGGCACAGACTGGCAGTGGAGCGCCGTGGAACCCTGAAGCAGGTATCCCGGGTTGCACTCGAATCGGACGATGGAGCCTGCCGAAAACTCAGAACCGATTCTCCTTCCGTATCTGGGCTCAGGGACAGAGCTGCACTGGGTGTCGCTGGTACGAGGAACAGCTAGAAGCAAAGCACAGAACACAGCCATCTGTATCTCCATCAGCAAGCCAGGATGTTGTGTGGGAAGTGGGTTTAAGATGGGGCCAAGGAGAGCTGATGCAGACAGAGAATTTAATAACACCTCCAACAATCGCTATATAGAGAGTGATTTGAAGAGCTGGGACCACGCAGAGCTGGTGCAGATAGAGAAGTTAATAAAGCCTCCAACAATCGCTATAGAGAATGATTTGAAGGTCTGGGACCACGCAGAGC